TACTTGTTTCCGGATTATGGAGTCCATCGCTCCCTTTAGGAAAAGGAGGGCTAAAAACACTTAAGACCCTTGGCTGAACAACACCACCCGCGAGACGGTGCAGGAAGGCAGAGCGGAAATGGAAGAAGGATGGCCTGCTCATTTCCCTGGACATTTTGAGAGACAGCCTCCTCTCATATCAGAAAGCTGTAAAAAAGGCCAAAACTCAATATCTATCTAATATTATTTTGGAAAACAGTCAACATCCAAAAGTTTTGTTCAAAACCATCAACTCTATTATTAATCCAGATGCTGCTTTGGCCACTGAGGGATCGGTTTTGATCTGCAATAAATTTCGAAGATACTTCGCTGATAAAGTCTGGGCTATTAGGCAAAACATTCCCAAGACCCCACCTTATGTACCGCCTGTATCTCACGCATTGCATACTTTGGATTCTTTTGTTCCGATCTCTCTGCCTCAACTTAAAAAATATGTCTTACAGCTAAAACCTGCCTCCTCTCCCCTGGATTCTGTCCCAGCCAGGATTATTAAGGAGGCTATCGATAGGGTTGGGCCCTCTTTGGTCACGTTTATTAATTGTTCCCTTAGTTTGGGCTCGGTTCCCACCGCCCTTAAGCATGCTGTAGTGAGACCACTTCTCAAGAAACCCAACCTTGATCCGTCCTGTCCGTCCACCTTTCGCCCAATTTCCCTACCTTTTTTATCTAAGGTAATGGAAAATATTGTTCTTACTCAGTTGCAGGCACACTTAGATCATCTGTACCTTGCTGACAAGTTTCAGTCAGGTTTTAGGTCCCGCCATAGTACGGAATCTGCTCTACTCAAAGTCCATAATGACATTACCATGGCTCTGGATGCCAAGCGCCCCGTTATTTTAGTTCTTTTAGATTTCTCGGCAGCCTTCGATACTGTCTATCATGCACTTTTACTTTCTAAACTTGAACATCTCGTTGGCCTGAGGGTCGCGGTCTTTAATTGGTTTATTTCTTTTTTGGAAAAACAGAACCTTTTCTATTATTATCGACGATTTTTCATCTGATGTAGCCCCACTTCACGCCTCAGGCGTCCCTCAAGGCTCGATTTTGGTTCCATTACTTTTTTCTTTATATATGTCACCACTTGCTTCAATCATATCAAGTCACAATCTTCATTTTCATTTTTATGCGGATGATATCCAGATTTATATGCCATTGGTACTATCTGACTCGAATGCACTTCCTCCATTGCATAACTGTATTCTGGATATTAAGAAATAGCTCGCCCAAAATTTACTTCACTTAAATGAAAATAAGACTGAATATGTTATCAGCCCTGATCCAGCTGCAGTGTTATCCAGCTTAGGTGCCTCTGCCCTCTCACCTACAGACATTATGAGAAACCTTGGAGTAATATTTGATAATGGCTTTACTTTTGATAAGCAGATTAGGGCCGTGGTCAAGACCAGTTTTTTCCACCTGAGACTTTTAGCGAAGGTGAAGCCTTTCTTATCGTGTAGAGACTTAGAAAAAGCAGTCCACACTTTTATTACCTCATGATTAGACTATTGCAATGCCCTGTACGTTGGTGTTTCTCAGTCTGTGCTGCGGAAACTTCAACTGGTTCAAAACGTGGCTGCTCGGCTGTTGTTGAACACTCCCAGGTATGCCCACATTACCCGTTCTTTTTTCACTACACTGGTTGCCAGTACAATGGAGAGATCATTTTAAGATGTTGCTATTTGTCTTTAAAGCCATGCATGGCCTTGCCCCACCGTACCTGTCGGAGGTGCTATCTATCTATGCTCTGCGCCGAACCCTGCGCTCCACTGAGCACTTGTCCTTAGTTGTTCTGTGGGCCCGATCGAAAAAATGGGGCAATCGCTCGTTTGCTGTCTATGGTCCTAGACTCTGGAACTCATTACGCCTGAGATTCGGTCTATAACCGAGCTAGCGGTTTTTAAGTCTACTTTAAAAATTCACCTTTTTAAACAGGCTTTTGGTGTTTAATCTGTTTTATCTGCACCAAAGGGACATGGTTTAACTTGTTGTTTTATACTTTTTTTTTTTTTGATGAAACTTTTCATTACTAGGATTTTATAAACCTGTGTTTTTGGACTGATTGTTTTTAGTATTTTTTACATATGTTCCACTGTGCAGCACTTTGTGCTCTTCGAAGTTGTAAAGTTCTATATAAATAAAGTTTATTGTTATAACATTCTATGAAAACAGCAAACAATAAGGTCCACTTGTTGCTGTCTCACTACTGTTATGTTGGGGGGAGGCTGTAAAAAGAGCCTGTGAACTGAGAGAGAAAAAATGTATGTTTACAACTGAACTGGAGTTTTCAGTTTAAACCAGACCTGGGCATTTTACGGCCCTTTGGTTGACTCTGGCCGGCCCGTGTAAGGTTAATTGGAAATTACAAAATAAACGTTTTTTTTTATTTCACCTCATGCATGGACTAAAGCTGCATTGCTTTTATTTTGAAGTTGTTTTTATTCACGTACATAATACGTATATCAAGACGTACGCAAGATTGAATCGTTGTCACACACCCTCAAAAATGTCCGCTCATGCTAAAAGAAGAAAGATAGATGCCGAATGCAGGGTTTTCAAAAAATTGGACTGCTAAGTATTTATTTACTGAAGTTGTGGGTAAAGCTGTGTGTTTAGTTTGCAGGGAACAGATCGCCGTGTTTAAGGACTACAATGTGAGTCGGCATTACCAGACGAAACACGCAGAGAAATACAGAAACTTGACTGATGCTCGAAGGGCGCGAACATCGGAAGCTTTACTCGCTAAGCTGCAGAAGCAGCAAGGACTTTTTACCAAGCTTCACACATCCAGGGATGCAGCAACCAAGACCAGCTTTGTGATATCCCACAAAATTGCTAAATAAAGTAAGCCGTTCTCGGAAGGGGGAGTTTGTTAAAGAGTGCTTGATGGACTCTGCAGCACTAATATGCCCTGAAAAAAAAGAAGCATTTGAGAAAGTCCCGCTGTCCAGGCGAACCGTGACGAGAAGGATCGAGGACATTGCGGGGAATCTGGAGCTTCAGCTGCAATGTGAAGTGGCAAGTTTAGACTTTTTCTCCTTGGCTTTGGACGAGAGCTGTGATGTCGGCGACTTTTTTGTGTCGTCGGACTTTTGAAACGTATGCAAGATAAAATGACTGAAATGGACGCCGATCAGAAATTGGTATTTTTGCATTGTATTATACACCAACATGTGTTTTGCAAATCAGTGCTAAAAATTAACCATGTTATTGATGTTGTTACTAAAATAGTAAACTTCATCAGGGCACGGGCATTGAATCACAAACAATTTGTCGCCCTTGTGGAGGAGCATGAGACTGAGCATAGTGACATTGTCTACCACACAGCTGTCAGATGGCTCAGCCTGGGCAAAGTGCTAAAAAGAGTTTGGGACCTGAAAGCAGAGATTCGAGAGTTTTGTGAGACGAAAGGCAAAGACATCCCAGAGCTCTCAGATGAGGACTGGATGGCAGATTTTGCATTTGCTTTTGATGTGACTGCACTAATGAATGAATTGAACACCAAACTGCAAGGCAAGGGCCTTTTTGTTCATGAAATGCACAACCTGGTGAAGGCTTTCATGAGAAAGATGCAGTTTCTTTCAAGCCAACTGGAGAGCAACACTCTCACTCACATGCAAACCCTGAAAGAAGTCACACCATCAGCTGATCACTGCCGCAGGTACTCATCCATGTTAGGAGCATTGCATGGTGAGTTTTCAAGGCGATTTGAGGATCTCAGAACAATCGAGGATGAAATGCACATGATTTCCTCTCCCTTTACCTGCAGTGTGTGTTTACCATTGTTTTGGGAAATTTGATTGAATAAATGACATTTTTTGTAAGGCAACCTCACTTTTTCATTGCTCAACTATAACATATACTCTTACCAGCTTGTCAAAACAATGCTATTTATTGCTTTTTATAAAGAAATACAATTAATATTATGCAAAATTGAGTTCAGCCTTTTGGCCCGGCCCTCCACAATATTTTTGCTTCTCATGTGGCCCCATGGAAAAAATAATTGCCCACCCCTGGTTTAAACAATAGTCACCAATTTTCATTCTGTTAATGCCTTTTCATTTACTGAAGAGTCAGAGTTAAAGAAGGCTGTGTTAAGTAGTGTTAAATTTTCTTTTCTGCATTGTTTTTATATACGATTACATTTGGGCCACTAAAAATGGTGGCCTGTGGGGCCAGTGCTTAAAAATATTAGCATCTATCCCTGCATTAGCTATCTACAATGAGCACTGTGTAATGTTTGAAAGAGCAGGACCGCAGTGCAAGTACAAGTTAAGTTTGTAAGGCTGGCTGGGCTCACCAGGAGCTGTAAGGTTCAGAGCTCAAATGGCAAGGCTGGTCTTCCATGCATAGTGTTTCCCAGCCTTTTTGAATCACAGTATGCTACTGATAAATCATCCTAAAATTTTGACTATCAACATTTACAGAGTAACAATCTAAAAAGCAGTTAGTTACAAAATCAATAACCATAAAATAAAAGGAAAGTAAAGAACAACCTTTGTGTAACCTCAGTGTGTGGATGCCTTCCAACCCCTTTACCTAGGGCTAGGATTAACATGTCAACCAATCAGCCTGTATGAAAGGGAACATGGACACTTTTCAAATGAGATGCACTGCAAAAGACTAAGCTCTACTCAAAAACAGGCAATGCTACTGCTCCCACTGATGAAGCTGAGGTCATGGCCTCTGAATTTTTTCTCTGAATCTCAGGGTTTTAGCAACTTTCTACAGTGTATATAGTCTAAAGTTGATTTTTTTTTTTACCTGGTTCAAATATTTTATATAAAAATTTAAGGTCATTCTTTTTTTCCAAGTCTGTAATATTCTAATGATTTTTGCTGATGTTTTCTGGATAGTACTGTGTATTTATTTTACAGATACAGAAAAAATACAAAGTTCCATTATTTCAGTCATTTTTTAGAGTAGCATTTAAGAGCTGTAACTGATTAAACGATTAGTATATCAAATGAAAATTAATCAGCAACTATTCTGAAATCAATGAAGAGTTTAGGTCTTGTTTTATAGCAAAAATGCCAAACATCTTCTGAATTCACCATCTTATTTTTGAATACTTGCCTGTTCTCATAATCCTTTGTGAGAGCACTAACTATCTTTGGTGATTGGACATTTGAGCTCTCAAAAATTGCAATGAACATTTTTCAGTTTTCTGACATTTTATAGCCCAAACAACTATTCAATTAATCACGACAGATCCATCAATAATGAAAATAAGTGTAAAATGCAGCCTTAGTTGTGTTGAGTTTAAAAGCAGTTGTTGATTCCCTGAGGAATTTCACTTAAGAAGCAACTCAATTTCAGCCTATGTGAAGATTCATTCATTTTCAATTAATGTAAACTCAATTTTTTAACAAAATTTAAATTACTTGCATGTCTGTGGAAAGATTTCAAGTTTTTGAATGCTCCCGTAATTTATCACCATTATCAGGGTGGGAAAATGCACAGCTAAGTGCCGTTAAATCTTGACTGGATGGTTATTTATCTATTTTGATTCAGAGGTCCTATGCTAATGAAACAATCTTTATTTTTGCAGTGTAGTCCACAATCTCCCACAGTATAGTGCTGTGACCTGGGCTAGATGCAGAGCCAAGCCTGCACCTCAGGCTCAGATTAACAGGTCAACAAAGACACAAGTTAATGAGACACAGCAACACTTTACATACCACTGGTATTTACAACAAAAAAGGTGGTCAGTTGTGCTTGTGTGTGTGTGATGGAGATGGGGGAGGACAGGTGAAAGTTGAAAAGGCCAGTGAAAAACAATACTACTGGATGTGATATAGAGATGTGGGACAACTGAGAAGTAAAAATAAAGTTGAAATGAGTTGAAACAAATTCAAGCAACAAAAATGAATTTATAAAATTGGGTTTTCATTGTGTTGATGATTTTGCCATCAGCTTCTACAATAGCTAACTACTAATAGGCCCCCCTTTTGTCATGGCTTTTTAGCATCTTCATTTTTTGGTTAAAAAGTTCAAAACACAGGAACCTGCTACAACTCCCAGCACTTCACTGTTGCCGTTTCTTGTGTGGGGAACTGAGCATCACAGCCTGAAAGCAACACAGACTGTAACAACTTTCACCAAGATTGTCTTGATTTTCAAGAAACGTATGAAAACCTTAAATGAAATAACAACCATGTGGCAAAATATGCAGTAGAAGTTGTTGTCCTAAACTTGTGCTGGCTAAGTGTGTGTACACAAGTAAATGTGCTGCTTCTGTACTCGTCAGGGAGACAGTTTACCTGTCGTAGGTCAATGAAGGCCAACTGGAGTGTGTCTCCTTGGAAACCAGGGACCGGTTCAGAGCTGGCAAACACTGAAAAGAAACAGCAATACCACCAGACAACAGTCACTTGAACAGTACAGAATCCAAAAATAAAATTGTGGCTTATTTTCTGTGTTTTAAATAAAGTTTTTGATTCAAAGATGTTAGTGACAATGGCATGCGTTTCCTTGCTTTCCAACTTATCTACCTCGACCTAAAGCTAAACAAATGAGGTGTATATATGTTCTAGTATTTCTATGCAGAAGTAACTCGGTTTATACATGTCTCACAAACTCTCGCTCAGGAGACTTTTATTCTAAGTGTAAAGTCTTATATACTAGTTTATTGAATGGTTATAATCATCAGGCATTTGCGCGTTCATGTGAGCTTGCCTGACATCCACCAGTGCCATTGTAAAAGCGGAATTTTTGGACTGCACCGGGTTTTGTGAATATATTTTACCTCCTGCTGCTCCACTATGACCAGAGGATGAGGAGGAAAACACAGGACCTGAGGTTAATGCATGTCGAGGAATGTTCCTGTACAGGGACTCGCTGTTTTACCTGACCAGGTCTAACCTACAAGCAGCCAGCCAGTGAAAGCCCCTACAGCGGTGAATGATCAGCTCATCAACGCTGGATTCCCCCAGAGCACAGTATCAGTTTGTTTTGACTGCTTGAGGCCAGTGTGTCTGTCCATGTGATGTTTTGCTGTTTAACAAGTGGATTAATGACCCATGATGTTGTTGTTGGTGCTACACTACCTGTTGGAATTAATTTCACTGCTTTGGGACTGTATGTGGTCATGTGGGGGAAGACATAGCAACCACCAGTTTGATTTTACCAACCTTGGTGCTAACTGAAAGGGAGTGATGTTTCCACTACTCGGTGGGACTTAACGGTAAGAAGACTGGGCATACTATAGTAACGTAAGTTTAAAAAAAAAAAAAAACACATTGCATGTCTGTTAATGCCTTGGGTTTGCATTAGAGAGAATTGTTGTAAGGCTGGAGAAGTTACTATGCATGTTTGCATTATGCCAGGTAAAATATAGGGTTTCTCAATTACCCGCTTGTTTAGAGTGTTACATCTCTTTTCATCGGTACATATACTGTTGTATATATTACTGTCTATGAAGGAGAAATTCATATTAATTAATGCTGCTGCTGCTGTTCGTTCTGTCCACTTTCATATTCTGGCTCGAACATGTCAGGTAGGATTTGAGGTGTTCCTTGGGGGACTGGTTATGGTGGTCACTGTCGAAAATGTATCTTATTTGTCAATGTTTTTTGTTGTTTCCCCTGTTCAAAACTTATAGCGACTTCCTCAGTGGTTGTGGTTAGGATAATGTTAGGACTCAGGTTAGGGGAAACAGCTTGTGTACGTTCACAAACTATCCTCTCATTTTTACGAAGAAACTGTGGTTTTATCTGTATAATTACAGATTATTTGAAGTTATGAGGGGTGCCAAGATAATCTAGAGGTACCCAAGATTAACCATTAAATTGCTAGCAATGAGCAAAATGAGCAGCCATGGGCACTTTAAGATATTAGAAGTTTACCAAACTGAAAACCACAGAATTACACATCAGGATTACCAGAAGTAGCAACTACAGGTGGGTGATGAATTTTACCATTACCAATATTAAATTATCAAGCTTAATGTTCAGTATAATGGCATGTTTAGTAGAAGTAAGCCATCTGATATCTGCTTCTTCACCATCTTCTTTGACATAATTTTAGAGCAGCAGTGTGATTCCTATATGCCTAGACTGTCTGTTTATGCATACATGGCAAATAAAAATCTTGACTCGATGAAAGGTGATGCTATTTATTAATACGATTATTCACATTTACTGTGCAAACATGCACTGTAGCTCTCAGAAAGCCATGATCATAGGTTAGAAAATATGATTTTTGAACTTTCATAATAAATTCATGTTTAAAATCATTTTGGGCCCTATCACCCTGCTCAACCATCTAACTTTTCACATTACAGTGAGTTATGTTTCAGTGCTCACAGAATGAAATTATCAGTCTTAAGGGCAATTTAAAAAAGGCAGGGGGATACAGATTTCAATATCTACTTTATGTATTGTCTGTATATCAATGACAGGTAGATATTATCAGTTAGGTTTTTCCATTGATCTAGTCCACTTTTGTTGTGTTTCACCAAGCCATGATGATGTGCATGTAGAACCAGTTACAAAAACACACACAATCTAATAAGGTATTTGAATGACAGTATCATGAATGAATCTTGCCAGTAAGCATTGTCCATGTCTAAATAATGTACCACAACCTCAGCCGTCAGGATTTAAACAATGTCACAGCAAAACAGCTGAACTGCTGCCAAGGAATGATACTGTCAATGCCTTGAAATATCATAAACATGTTGTTATTTTTATTAACACAGATCAAAAGCATGTGGCACTGCTGACAATGTATTAGTGAAAATGAAAAAAAAGAACTTCAAAATGTTTTTGTTTACCTGACAAGAAAAACTAAAACAGTAGTTTGAGAAATGAAGAGAGAGTATAAGGCCAGCAATTTTCTGTTTTTATCTTCAAAACATCGCAGAGGCTAAAACCAACAATTAATTTTGCACACTGACCATGTCTGTTTATCGTGCATTTAAATTGTCTGAATTGTGTGTATATGTGTTTGTAGTTTATGTTGTGCTTGTTTATTCAAAAACAAATATCTTGAAAAAATTGTCAATTATTCATTCCTGAAATAAATGTAAAAATGCTATACCTTTGTCTTCACAAATAAAAGACATATAACTGAATATAAAACAAGATAAAATGCAAACAATATCAATTAAGTAAATTTCAGACTGAGATCTTAAAATCAGTTTGTAATTTAATATGACTGCCCCCTGTGCAGGTTTCTTCTGGGTCCTTAATTACATCAGAAATAAAAATATACATTTATTCATACTCACATTCACACTGAATGACATCTAGGTTGAATTGCTGAATGGCCCCCATGCTGATCTGTTTGAGCTCTGTGTCCAGCAGCATCTGCATCAGCGATGTAGACAGATGCTTACAGGCTGACATACAAGCTGTCTGGGCCACTTTACCCTGTGGGGGAAGGGGTAAAAAATAGAATGAAAGAGAGAGGGGAAGATGGAAAGGTATGGGAAAGATTACAATGGGAATGAGGACAGCAAATAAGGATAAGAAGGCAGGGAGAAATGTGTGATGAGATCATTGAAGGGTTGAATATGTAAAGATTGTTCAAAGAAAGGATCAGATAGGATATAGTGGGCAGAAAGGATAGATGAGTAAGTAAAGAGGTGTAAAAGATATTGTATGAAACATTCAGCAAAACAGAAGTAAGGTTTGTGGGAAGAAGACACAGGAATAAAGAAAAAAATTGGGGGGGATAAAGAGCAAGAAGGGCAAAAAACAAAAGCCCAATGTTAGCTGTTAGCAGTGCTGTTACCACATAGGCTACTCTAAGGTGAACAAAACCTGTAACTTGACTGGCATCACCTTAAATGCTGATTGTAAAATGATATTCATAATACAACACTGGCAATTCTGACAAAAATGAAGATAAAGCCACGTGATATCGGCATATTTCATGTTAAAATACATACTTAATTAAAGTCCAATCAAGAGGTGATGAGCAGCTTTATCTGATTTTATTTCTGGAAAAAAGCCAAGCGTCTGAGTTTTCCACTTATAATTAAACACACCACATATTTGTGGACCTGAGAGTGAGAAAATCCTCTCAAAACCTTGCACATGAGCATAACGTGATCAGGTGATCAGTGCACAGATCTGATGATCTGTAAATACGCTTTAAAGAACTGCATACAGAAAACTGTTTTTACACATTTGCAAATCTGGATTTCATTTGTACATTACTGAACACACATTTGTGGTCATTATGAGACACACAAATAGGTTTTTACATATTTGCAATTTCGACTGTATTTGTAAATATCAGAATACGCATTTGTGGCTAGTTATGAGAGCATTTTACTCCCATAAATTTGACACATATAACACTGCACATGCTTCACATCATCATGTTGACAACATTAAAGCAACTATGAACTGAGAATTTCAGCACCTGAGAAGTTGTTTGTGACAAGGTCTGATGAACTTATTATAGTGAATTCCTATAAGTTAACCTCCCCTCAAGTGTTTGAAATGTTAACAATAACTTTAAATGGATCAGTACAGTTAGTGTTTGTGGTAAACAGGAAGAGAATAACAGATCAAAACAATCCATTCTCAAGGACACCCATGCAAAAACACTCAAACCCAGGGATGATGTGGTGACCCAATGTTAAGGATAATGCACCCAGCAGTCTTATTGTAACACACTGTATTATCAAAAATAGCCCCATTTAAAAACAGTGACTCATGAAATCAAAGGAACCTAAAAAACAGAAATGATGACTGATGCCACAGTGCAGAATTGGTTTTGGCCCCGGACAGCCATGGAGGTTTGATATCAGAAAGTCAGAGTGAGTATTTAACATCCTTTGTTTGAGCTCCACATTTCTGCTGACAACTTACCAGCAGATACATCGTTGACACATGGTGCAGCAGGAGTAAGGGTTGCTCATTCACATTAAACAAGTTGATCGCATCTCACCCTAATGCCTCCCAATCTTTTAGGTCACACAAGCCAATTACTGACTCTGCATAGATTGGTAGTCAATTCAGGGGCCATTCACCAAGATATGCCGCTAAGGAAAAGCCTCTCTGTGCCACACTAAGTGGAAAATCTGAAAATGAATGTTGAGGTCCGTTTTGGCCTTCCATTTATTCACCATTTTGGAAAATGGCCTTACAGTCTGCTTAATGCATTAAAAATTGTGAAATGAAAGTGGAATTTTCAGTCCAATATGACTCTTGAATGTTTTGTAAAAACAAGTCGGTGTGTGCTCTGGAGCAAAGGCGATAAATGGGAAAAGTGGAATGGAGTGCACTACTGTGCTGTTGTTGTTCTCCAGCAGTGGAGAACAGCCTCTCCTTGCCACATTGTTAGTACAGGCAAAGCCATCCTTATGCAAAACACAGGGCTTTTGAAATGACAGTTTGCGATGTTCAGCCAACCTTTCTACTCTTCATGTTTGTGATGGGGTACAAAGTGTTCACAAAATACTGCATCTTTGTCTTGTAAAGATAATTAGCAATTCAATGAATCCAAAATGTGCCCTATGTTGGCGAGTTCTGAAGATGGATTACTATAGTATGCCCAGTCTGTATGCCATCTGTGAGTTCCAATCTTTTTGTTCCATCAACAAAATGCTGTTAAATAATGTTATTACACAAATCTATTTTTGGCATTTGGGAATTGATTCAGAATTGTAGAATCTAAGAATCACAATCCTTATGTGAATAGATACTTTTAGGTCTCAGAATGCATGTGACGTCCGACCCGGTCCAACAGCAAAAATGTTATGTTATACCTGAGTTAAATGGTCGAAAACAGGAACAAAAACTCTGTCATAATAACATGAGATCAATTTAAAAAAGCACACACTTTTATCTTAATGAGTTCACAGTGCTGCACTTGCTAAAATGAGAAACGTACTAGTGTGAAAAATGAAAGAAAAAGCTTGAGAGAGAAGTTCAAACCTGCATACTTCCTAACTTCAGGACACCTGACCAATCACTGTGGAAAGTGGACATGCTCGTCAGTATAGCCGACACAGCACAGCAGGTACGATTAAATGTTTAGCTGTTATATAAAATCTCAGTGAAGTATGTCAGAAGTGGCTCTTCGCATGGTAACATTTATGATCTGTAGTCAAATTGTAGTGTTTTTGCTTTTTTTTTTTTTTCTTTGTTTAGTTGTTGGTAAACAGAAACAGAAAAATATGTACATGAAAACAACAAAATCACTAGTTTAGATTGGATGAACATTTGTGTGTCTGGCAACATCAGCAAGCTGACTGGATATTTCTTTGTACTGTCAACTCAAGATAGCAGTTGCAGCCATCGATGAGGTTAGCCTCCACAAAGAACACATGAAGTAGGCTATAACATTTTTGCGGAGAAATTCATGTGAATGGTAGCGAGAGATAAAATGTAGCCTATTTTACATGTAAAGAAACTGCTAACATACAGTGAGGAACAGAAGTATTTGAACACCCTGCGATTTTGCAAGTTCTCCCACTTAGAAATCATGGAGGGGTCTGAAATTCACATTGTAGGTGCATTCCCACTCTGAGAGACAGAATTAAAAAAAAAATTCAGGAAATCACATTGTATGATTTTTAAAGAATTTATTTGTCTTGCACTGCTGAACATAAGTATTTGAACACCTGAGAAA